TGTCCATCCACTGACTTCAAAGCTGAAAGCGTGCACATGCCCGTGCAGAGACAACAACGAACAGGAAATATCATGAAAAAATTCACTTCATTGTACAAAAAACTTTCAAATCATCGATGATACATCTACAGAATTGAATGAGGTTTCCTATGCCCGTCTCTTCTTTTGATGGAAGTTAAAGCAGTGGTGGTAGTTCCTTGCTGTACAGTACATAACTTCATTGCTTCCTAACATTAAATATAATCGAATTCACAATAACAGCGTAATAATAGTCGAACAATGAGCCTCTATTTGACTATACTATACAATTATATTATTATTATTATTAATAGGTTCACAGATAAACTCTAGAGACCTTAAGGTTCAAAATATATACTTAAGTCGTACGACAATCAGAATCGTTCAGATACTCGCACTTTCTAGGGTTCACATAATAAGATTTTGTATATGATGATTCATAAATAAATAGGAGGCCAGCGGCACAACAATTGCACAAGATCATATATGGGACTAATCGATCGATAACGATCGATGCCAGGCACACAGGATACTGCTCAAGAAGAAAGAGCAGATAAAAATGAAAACAACTCAACAATTTAGAAACAACAAATCATCACTCTTTCCTTATACGTATAAGAAATGCAGAAGAGAAAATGACTTGCGTGATTGGAATGAGCTGTTCTGTTGTGTGAAGTTTCGCCTTTTCAAAGCACATCTCTGTATTTATGGGAATGTAAAAAAAAGGAGCAGTATGACAACTTTAAATGAAGACACACCTTGTCAGACATACTTACATATCACGTTCATACAAAAATATTATATATTCTCTTTTTTTCTTATGTGCAAAATACACATATTGCTAGACTATAGTTTCTCTAGGAAGATCATCAGTGATCATCAGTTGACTTCACTACTTCAGATGCGCTATTTCTGGGACAACATCGCTCGTTCGGCCACACGTCGCGGACCGTATACTATACGCAACTGAGTAATGATCTATCCGAAAGTGGAGAGCCATTGATTGCGTTCGAACGAGGTAGCAGTTCTACGTGTTCGGATTCACTCGATGATCGTGTTTTCCCGTTACGACGAACCAATTCGAGCTGAATTCAATTGTTAGAGCGTCTAATCACTAAGTTAACTTGACAACACTGCTCTTAACACAAGTCTAACACAACGTAAGCACCTTCGAGAAATAAAATCAAAATAGTCAACAACTAGGACTTCCAACCGACAACATGACACGGTTAATCGTTAGATAAGGGACAAGCATGTTTGAAAGCAGTGGTTAAGGAAAGTGCCTACCAAAAAGAGAAATGAGGCACTAAAGAACGAGACGTAACTCATTTACGGCGCAGCGATCGTACAAAGTAAAGCCTGAACCCGCCTCTGATTGGCCACCGAAGCCGTTTGTCCCTGTCCGTCGGGCTCTAGCCCTGTTGGCAAAGAAGAAGAGCAGCACCATCCCCGCTGATGACATCAGCTACCGTTGACCCTCATCCATCGCGCAAAGCAATAAGTTAAATAGGGGTCCCTTCCGCAGATTTCATTGATTCTAATACTTTCTTCTCTGCCGCACCATTGAGCACCTATACCATTCCTACTGGCCACCAAATTAAACACCTGCTGCCTTCAAACAAGCGTACTACTGAACATGGCCCTGTTAAGCACAACAAAGGTATTAATCATTCAGTTCTGAAGCCACTTGGCTTCATATAACAAAAAATACTAATAAAACCATAACTATTTTGAACTTCGGACACTGGAGGCACGTAGTCAACTCTCAACCAGAGCCACTACCCGTACAAATCGCGACTACTCACGGTAACCGTACCGACAGCTAAAGATCAAGAGATAGTGATGGCGTAGATGAGAAAGAGGTGAGAAAACAGCGAAGGCAAAATTTGTGTACACAAAGCCTAGGCGTCCCTCAAACGCAGATAACATCCCAACATCTTATTAAGCAGCAGACCGTTGTATCTTTTGTAAGGATACTCTCGTCCAAACCACCATTACCTCAACGGGAAACACGTCCCAAATGGACAGGCAGCATAGATCCTTCGGGCATTCCAGGTTTTGTCCTGGTTCCACCTTAACTCCCGCACCACTTAGCAGCTATATTTTCATATTTGCTCAACATCAAATTATCGTGACCATTGGCTTTAGAAAATGTATCCCTGCACCTGCGTGACACTAATACTAGCGATTCGGCAATTAACACATTGACGACAACGCGGGGGATATATATATCCCGCGCACTGCAGGCCATGTCGGACCGTGCGGGATATATATCCCCCGCACTAATTGCACTCATTTTTTTCGCGCACGCCTAATTCTTTTGAAAGTTTCTTGCATTCATTCCATAGAAGAGACCTTGACTTAGCTAAAAGCGTAGTGTCCCTTGGAATGGTCGTGTATACTTTGATTTAGACGAGGATTTCTAATACAAATCTTCATTTCAATAATTTCCGTACACTTTTTCTTTTTATTGACTCGTGGAAGATTTTAATAGCAGTCCATCGCATAGAAAGGAACCTCGGGTGATCAATAATGTGTTTTTGATTGAAATAATGCCCCAGTAAATTGTTTTGAGGCCATAGCAGCTGGTTCTGGAAACTTTTCGGTTTTCATTGTCAAAATTTCAGTCAATCGATGGAAATCCAGCTTCTGCTACCCCTGGTATGTTTGGCGATCATTTTACAATTCTACTGATAGGGTTTTTGAACATTGATCGTAAGTGTTGTGTAGTGGATCAGCCAACTTGCTTGAACGACATGAGGCGAGCACAGCCCTCAAATCGGCCCGCGGTCCCACGTGGCCAAAAAGCCAATTAAACTTCGTCATTGTGCGGTCAACTGGTGTTAAAGACCCGAAGGAACAGCATGAGATTGTTGATAGTATTGTAGAGGATTGTTCCACTCACATGGCAAAGCAATCTGTGCCCGTAGTATGAATAAATTAGTTGGAGTAAAACTAAAACTGGCAACTAATAAAGTAGTAACTACACTTTGAAATGTCATTTTTTCATCATTATGGAAGCTGACAAAAGCATTTTTCAAAATATTCGAACAATAATCATGCCTGGCAACTACGGCAAAACGAAATCTCTAGCTTGTTAGTTTAGCTTTAGCGTAGGTAGCACATCTTTTGTAAGTACGTGTTAATCTTTAACAGTTATTATACACAGAACATTGTTTCAACGTTGAACATAAAGTTTTTTCGCATATCACAGCTGAATAAGTGTGGTCCATTTTGCGTTTTGGTGCTGAATAATTCTACATTAGTTCGTGATACAACTATCGAGAATATAAAAAATGAAAGAAATTCAAAAAATGTTTTCAAAATTGAGATGATTATTCAGCTATGATAACAAAATCGTAATGTTCCGTGAAGTTCTTACCACTTCATATGAAAGCCGTTTTACCGGTGAACAAAAATCTATCCATTCTATACAAAAATAGAATATCTCTGTTCGTTATCATGAGACCTTCGTTGTGCACCCTCCATGCACCTGAAGCAACCAACCTTGGGTAGTTTGAAAGATGAATTATTCCTAATTAAGCCATTATTCAAACGAGGCAGGTTAATTAATGATTCTTAGAGTAGTAAATTTAAAATGAAGCGCAAGTTACACAAGCTTTGGGAGGAAAGCGCGACATGACATTAAATTTGACTATTTTGAACTGTCGCAAAATATCATACTAATATATAAACCAGAGTTTGTTTGACTGTCCGCTCCCCTAAAATTCACAAAAGTCCTCAAACTTTTCTAATTTTTGCTTTGAAAATCACCTAAGGAGGGTGGGTCAAGATTGGAATGGGTAGAGCATGAGTCGATCTATGAGAGGATATATTGTTCATGGGAAACTCCACCCACGGTGGGGGGGGGGCGAGCGTCCAAAACAAAAATTTCGCTAAAATTGATGTTTCCGCTCCCTGGACATCCCAAAGACCAGGGAAAAATAGGGCCTAGATAGGGCACTTACCGCTCTACAAACAAACTTACTAGAAACAGCAATGGCTAAATAAAATCCATAGTCCGTGAGTTCTGCACTAGATGAGGCCCTTGCACAAAAAATATGGAGTGGAACGCAAGCACAGAGTGTGTACCAACTCGGCACCACGACTTAACAGAACTGGGGCGCTCCTGCTCAAAGGTTCACCATTTGCTCCGCTTCCCACCATACACCCCACCTATAAATCAACGCTATTCGATTCGCCGCTACTAGAGCGGGGACTTTACTTTCGTTCTTGTCGATAGTTTCTTCCCAATCTTTCATTAGTGGCTTTACACTTCACATCTCCATTGTCACAAGATCGAACCGACGTATTATTACTCATTGATTTAATCCCTGACCTTGCCTTTAAGTCAGTCCGGCCATGTCAAAGTCGCAATCAAAGCATCAATTACTTTCTTCGTAGGTGAAGCTCCAGAGAAATCCTTTCTTTTTGCCCAAAAACAAGTCGTGGTCATATTGTAGCCTCGTAAGGCTGGTCAAGATGTGTCATACAATATTTTAATGTCAATGCTGTTATATCATGCTGCAGGTTGATGCTTGTATTTTGCCAGAGTGTCACTAGAATGAGAAGCAATCCCGAAGGTCAAGCCACCGTCACTTACGTGGCTGTAGTATCGAAGAGTTAGCATGGCTGTCTTTGACAAACACGGTGACTCCAGCTCAAAATAGAAGCAGCAACTAGCCGGAAAATCTGTTGCGTTTTCCAACGTCCTATCAACAGTACAAATCAGAAGCGTAGAATAAGGATGGGTTAAGCTTTGGCGAACCCCGATTGCGGTGCAACAACTGTGCACTTGCCCGCCATAGGAGCAATCCCGTCATTACTACACCAATGAGACTAACATAGTTCAGGATGTTCGAGCTAAAAAGGATATACAGAAGAAACCTCACAGTCAACCTTGATGTAACTAAATCTACTTTCTACAACAGTACACGCTCCTTTCCGTAAACCTAACATCCAGGAGCACTAACTTACCCTCTCTACACATATGTGCCACGGCGATTTTTCCACCGTAGTAATAGCTAAATATTGGATCAGGTATAACAACCAAACGGCACTTCTCCCAATACGTACCTGAGGTGATACTAGCGAACTTCTCTTCGATGGCTCCTCTACAGTTGCCCATGGCGAGTCCTCGTCACCTGCTGCTCCAGATGTCAGACCATCCACGTCAGTGAATGAAGGCCTGTGGAAAAAGCAAATACTATCAGAGTTAGTGACAAAAGGGAAACATCCGGAAACAGCTCAGCGAAATCCTTGCTGCGCCTTATATGTATAGGCAAACAATCTTTTCCTTCACATCGCTCATCCTATTTTTTCCTCATGACTTTATACTTCTGCTTTTCTTAGTACCTTTCTTTCCATTCTTTTCTTCATATATCCTAGCGCGAGCTATGAAAACATGACTCGAACTACGGAATTTTGAATAGAAACAATCGATGAGTCCCTTAGGCAAAGTTTTTTATGCAGCGGCACCCTCCGCCAATTGGCTCACCCGAAGCGGTTTTGTGTTTTGAGGTACCCTCTGATCTACAGTCTATTTTATACGACAAAAATGATGTGTTCCTGATAAGCTTATTTATGGAAGGTAGACTGCCAACTGAGCGCCTCGCCTGTTTTGAAGGAGATCTCCTCATAGAAGATCATGTATTGAATGTTGCAATCCACTAATTGATTGTTATTTTTACTAAGTGAAAAATGAAGTAGTGGAAGGGTGGGGGTACTCATTATGCTCTTCTTGGACGCCAACGAAGGCAACTACGATGGGGCGCCATCTGAATGAGGCATGAGCCTGGAGTGCTGCGAAGAAACGGTTCCGAGTCAGGGCATGGACTTTTTGCCCAAGCTCAAGAGAAGGAAGATGGATGAACCACTGAACACGCACAAAAAGTGGGTATGAATTGGGATTGATATAACAGGATGCTATTTTGGTGAGGGCAAAAAAGGTGAGAAGGTGTGTACCCAACTTCATTTCCCTTTTGCCCTTATGAGACTAGATATTATGTCGATAAATTATATGGAATGGGAGCTGCTCAAAGTCTGCACCTAAGCGTTATAATCAAATAATGTGTAATCATGAATACGCTTGACGTCGTAACTAGAAGAAAAAAGTGAATACCTAGTCCCTCCACGGCTCATGAGTGTACTTCTGCAGGCAAGCATCCAACTATGAGCAGTAATCTCCAAAAAAGTACACTCATCACGCACAACCACGGTGTAATCGGGGATGAAGCCAAGTTTCTGCAATGAAGTCTTCGCACTTCACTGTACGATATGCACAGCTAACTAATGAATTGAAATACTGAGAAAAGGGAAGTTTTTCATGGAAATTACTGAGCAGTAGTGGTACCTTGGTCGTATCACTGACGAGCGAATTTCTCGAATGGTCGACATCTCCCAAAGCTCGAGAATCGCATTCACTTTTAGCCACCAGACGCTCTAACATTTCCGTTCCAAACGCAAACCACGGCCCAGCCTCGAACATCATTTCATCCTGTAAAGTAGTCGATCTGTTAAGCCCCTTAGTGAACTAAAAGGTCCGATCCCAACGCTAAACACAAACCTGTCCAATCGTAACCAGCGCTCGACCCTCCAATATAAGGATGAACTTTTCGGAGTATTCTTGCTTGGTATAAAGCTTCGCAGTTCGAGGAACTACAGCCTTCGGCTCATACATATCCGGGAGGTGAGACAACTCCACCTGAAAACGCTTAATTCGAGTCGAAGGCGCCGAAAATAAAGCAAGGTACGTGACCGTGACATTCAATAATCCTACACGAAAATTTACAACGAATTGGTGGACGAATGTGTCGCAAAATAGAACCAAATACTGCCAACCCACAGAAAACTAATGCCACATTCGTGATTAGAGCATTGAAAATCACTGTTGTCGATGATTCAAGGGACTTTTGCTTTAGTTTTTAGGTGAGAAGTAGCTATACAATCCCCAGACTCTTCAAGGAGAACAAGTAAAACCTACACGACGACAGTGCTGTCGTATCAACTTCTCCAACACGGATTGACTGATTAGATCAGCACTGAAGGCCTTGTGATTTGTGGTTAGCCACTGCATAGTTACTAACTGCATCTGCACACTAATCACTCGAGAAGGCTCATCGGCATCCATGAGACAAGACAAATCACGGGCCTGAAACAAATTTCCCATGATTTTGAACAACCTGCAGTAGGACAAACAAAAAGAGAAGGAACAAAAGAATAAAATGCTTGGCTTCGATCAGTCCCACCAGGGCAGAGAATGCATTCGAAAACTATTCGGACTCATGATGACTTCTGAAATCGTCACCGTGCTTTTCAAGCCACTATTGTTGAAGGGAAAGCCCTAATGTTCGGCGCATTCACTACAAAAGCTCATCGCCAGATTGAAATAAGGAAATTTCCCTCACAGTGCATTACTACTGAACGGCATAGTTGAGGTGGTACTAATACGAAAAAGATCGGAGAAGGTTCGTAGGTTCGACCATTTCCACAGCTAACCGATTCTAAGCCAAATAAGACACATAAAATATAGATGACAACCGTTACCTGCGCACCACGCCTCCTTGTTCTATGCACGTTATCCATCACAGCATCAGTTTCGTCCACAATTTCTGCCTTAATAGAAATGCATCAAACTCCATAGAGTTTACTTTAAACATAATAAGTAAAGATATAACGCGTACATTTGGAATGTAACCATTGAAATGCGCGAGCAAAACAAGGTATACAACGTATTCCTGGGTGCGCATTATTAAGCTATGGGCGAAGCACATCGTTAGGGCGTACCGTATTCAGTGATGAGTTTGCACCCACTGGAAATGGGGGGTTTTTTCCTTTAAACTGTGAAGAATTGTGGAGGATCCGAGGAGGAGATAGCAAGATCAAAGATACTGGGCTCTTAGAAAGAAAAAGAATTGGAGGCGAGAGCATGGATACGAGCTAAAACGGTGCGGCGCACGACATCAATACCGGGCTAGACCCCGATGGCGTACGCGGCAGTAAGCGGCTGGGGATGGATCCGTGTCCCCGGCTGGGGATGGATACCCGTCGTTGAAGATTTATCCCGGCCGGAGACAAATCCCCACCCCCTCTCGGGGACTTATGCATACGGCCTGGATATGAGTAGAGCCCATAGGCACCTTTATGAGTTGGCGACTCTGTTCGGCAATTTCATGCAGCGAATCAGGTCATAGTAAGTGCTTGCACACTGTGGGTTACGGCTTCACTCTAGTGTCTTAATCGTGAGTGCGCCTGGGAGATTTGTTGTTATAACTTTATCTCCTAGGATAAGCTATTGCTAAACAATCATAGCAAGAGGCCTTCAACAACCTTATCAAACCACAACTAAGAAAGTGCAAAACAACAACACCACACTCTGCGCGGCTTTCATTTCAAATCTGAAGAGAAAGTTTGAAAACTAACCTGAAGAATTTCTTCTACAATATCTTCAAGGGTGACAACCCCTACGAGTTCGTATGTTGGATCGCTATCTTCTGCGGAAACAATACGTTGAACCATAGCTAAGTGGTAGTCGCCCTGAAACGAGAATGTAAGTGTTGATGGTTTCTTGTATGAGGTACAAACTTTAAATCAGCAATTTTAGTAACCTTCTTGAACTCCTCCAGCATAACACGCAAGGGTGTATCTTCCATAACGAAACGGAGAGGATGCTGATGATAACCGCAAACGGTCTGTATGGTGAAATTGTCATCCGGATCTAACAGCGCGAGATCTTTGACGAACAAAAGTGATACCACATTGTTACGATCACCTGAAACTATAAACGTTCGCTAGCATATACCAGTATGTCTGTTGAAATGAAAATTTACGCACACTGGATACCGGAGATAAGTATCCATTAGCAGCGCTCTCTATCTGCTTACCGTTTTGTGTTCAGCACAGTGTATTGCGGTAGCAATGAAGACGTCTTAAACATGACAAGCTTTTTACGATCGCAACTCTCTCGCGCGCGGGCAGCGGATTTAGCTCGTCAGGCTGGCACACGCGGCAATTGTGCGCGGCGGAACTTCGCGCGGCGATCGGACGAAGCAAATCTTGTTGCGTCCGTCTTTGGCACTCTGCGGAGGACATTCAACCTACCCAAAGCGTGGTAGATTGCGGTAAAATCCGCCAAGGGCGACTCTGGCGATTTACAAGTTCATTTCCAACCGCATGGAGGCGGAGACAGCTGGTGAGTATGGCATGTAAGAAAGAGAGGGGTGGAGGAAGAGCGTAGCGTTTTAGCGGCGATCGAGGCGTCTGAGCTTCGAAGATTTTGCTCCCGTTTTCTGGTCAGCAACAGTTTATTTGGTTAGTCATGCAGACGTCCTAAAAACTGACGCTTTTTACGATCAGCAACTTCCTCTGCCGGGAGACGGACTTTAGGCTCTCCAGGCTGGCACTTCGGCCAAACTGCGCGCGGACTGCGGCGCACTTCGGACGAAAGCAAATCTTTCGCGCTTATTGGCGACAAATACTTCAACACATGTTGCCAAAAGCGTTGGTAGATGCGGATAAATCCGCAATGGTCTGCATTCAAAATTTCATTCCTAACGCATGGAGGAAACAGGGTGATGCGCCTAGGAGTAAGAAGATTTGGAGGAAGAAGGCTAACGCTTTTGGTCGGGATCCTGGCCTCATGAAGTTGTGAGTGAACCAATTACTCCACTTAAAGCTAAGCCTCAGGGAGGGGAAGCATTTTGGGAGAGGATGTGAGCAATTGGTGCTCTCCCCGATGTTTCTCCATCTCTTGAGCTTAGCCCTATACACCTATCATCAACTTTGTTTAGAATGTTCCCGCTAACAAGGGAGGTCTTTCAGAACATGAAGCGCTTTTTCGAAACGGCTTTATGATGTTGTGCGGGCTCATAAGAGGAACACAGAACCATAATCCATTTCTTCTAAACGCCTCCAGGAATGTCAAAAATGGTTTGGAAATGGTCCCGAGTTCGATCCCCGGTGATGACTAATTTTGCAATACGGTTTGACGGCCCCAAATTGCAGCAAAATGGCTCCATCGTCGAGAATAGATGTAATTCTCGTGTTTTGCGGCATTTTGGAGGCCCCAATATGAATTGCAAAAGACCGTCATCACGGAGGATCGAACTTTGGACCATTTCTTATCTTATCTCTTATCACTTATCACTTTGCGCAAACATCTCCTCACCGACACCGTTCTATTCAAATCTTTCAAAAACAGAACGTTTTTCCAAATAGCACAATCATGCGAAGTTTATCCACAATATGTACACGCTTTGACACGTTGAATTCTGTTGCAGCGGAGCCTTGTCTTGTTTGGATCGGGGCGCATTCCGCCACTCGATTTGCCGCGTGCCAGCCCGGACAAGCCAAAAGTCCCGCACCCTTCGGTGGCATTCATGAAGGTTACAAATAGTGAACGAAAACCTTGATTAATTTATCTCTACAAAAAATGGTACGCTTTTGAAACCCCTCCCAAGGACTCTGGAATGCTTCTGAGAAACAATGGTGAACTATCAGGGTATTCATATTTTACTACCTAGGCCCTTTCATCCTATACTCAAGAGATGCAACAGTCACAAACGGCGCGCCCCAGCGCTTACTACAGGTTTTTTTTTGGTGAGGGAGGGGATAACACTACCTGAACAAAGCCCAGGAGAGGATTCACGCTTACGCATTGCGAACTACCACTAGAACTTAAAAAATAACATTCACAGAATATGACCTCAGAAATGGTTACATTCCTCCACAGTATCCTCATCCAAATTACTTATTCTCGAAAAAAAAACTTTAAAAGTGTCATCATAAGGCAGTGTTCAACGGTGAGCGAACATAAGACATTTCAAACACATTCAATTTGAATCCCTTTGATTTTCTACATGGACTGCTATTATGTCATAGTAAACGAAATTGAATACTTACATCGATGCGAGTCATCACGTCAGTGACTGTCTTGTCACTAATTTCCATTGCACCGACTGCTATCTTCAACTCCTCAACTAATCCCTCCTCGTTGCTCATTTTAATCAACTCCATGAGACGCTTTCGATCATATGACACCACCTCTTCGCCAAGAACAAAATCCAGAATCTGTAAAAATCAGCGGTCAAACCCATGCAATCAGTATATACACCGTGTCAACGTTAGTTTTAGTGTAAACTGGTACGCCAACAAAATTCATACCTTTGAAATCGGAAACGCTATTGGGAATGTAAGTATCATGAAGAATCGTGTAACCCAAATAGTGTACGCACCGACAGCTAGACCTTTCCTTAAAAAATGTAGTGAACATAAGAAACATCTAAAGGTGGCACTAGAATGCTACAAATGAATTTTATAGGAAGTTTTGAGGAAATGGCAATTGTGTGATGGCAAGAGGCGCCGCTGACGTATGTCCGACACACGTATTGAGCCCCTTCAGCAAAAAAAATGCGTATGACAGCGCTTTTTGCACCTCTCACATTTCTAAATTATTTCGAAAAATAGGACATCCCCTTAGAGTGAGCAACCCTGTTGAACACGTTGCAGTCTGTCCCGATCAGGTATGCGTTTCTGTTTCCAAGTAACAAGATATTGCAATCAAGCTTAAATGCCGACGCGCAATTTAATTTTACCCCAGCTTCGATTGCACGCCTTAGTAATGGAACCGTTAGCGTCTCTGAACTTTGCACGGGTACATGCATCCAAGAAACTTGACCATTACAAACAATTATTATTAGGCAAATAGTGGCATTTATGCTGCACTCTGATGGTTGAATTTATTTTTTAGTCACCTCTTCTGATTCACATCTGCTAAGAGATAATAAAATTGGTATGCCTCACGTAGTCATTTTCCTTCACGATTGTGGGGATCACTGAATCCATTGCTACGCAGCAATTGCTGACGAACAAAGGATATAAAGGCAGAATTCACGATGGAAAGCAACCCATTTCAAATTAACTTAGGGATGGTGAGTGGTGAATGAAATAAGGAACAACCACGAGAAATGGCCCAGAATCCGAGAAATGAGACCCCTTCCTTGCCCGTTGATTTGCGCATTGATGCGACTCTCATCACCGTGCCCTCTTCAAGAGTACGCTCTCCCTGCTATCTAATCACTCGCCGCATATAGACCTGCGGTGAGTGATCAGATAGTCGGTAGGCGGAACCCGCCGACCGCGCCGAGAATGAGCCCTGTTAAGTCGCTGAGGTCAACTTTTTCGGTGCTAATCGCGCGTCAGCCCGCACTCTCAGAAAGTCCGCCGGTCTCTCAACTAGGTGAATTACTTCTTCTTCGACCTTCATTCTAATCGTGAATTCCTCCTTTGAAGTCAATATTTTCATTCTCGGGCAAGTATTTAGCAACTATCTAACACAACAGGAATGGGCCGTTCGGCTGATTGGGGTAGAATTGATACCACAATAACATATGTGGTAAGCAGCGCACCAGACTACGCAAAATACATATTTCACAGTGTATCACATACCGCCAAATTAAACGTACTTCAATAACATAGAAGTGTTTGGTAAACGTAAGAAAGAAAAAAAGACTAAAAAAAACTTACTTGACACATAAACTTTGAGGGAAAATTTCACCAAACACCACAATACCAGCAGATGAGGCAATCAGAGCCACATAACCAGAAGTGAGGTCATCCAAGAGAATGGAAATACCCGAATTGACACAAACATTACCTAGAGCAATAGAAATGAACTAAATGGCTGATACATACTTATATAAACATATGCATGAAAATTGAAATTCAATGTAGATACACTCACCTATAAGAAGTGAGCAAAGGAGGAGATTTCCACGCGCACGTACTGGTAAGATAACTTCAGCATACTTTCGCTCAGCTTTGGACCCTAAACAAGAATATGCATGATAGTGATTAGTTACACCAGCATGAAATGAATCCTTGCAATCTCATGAGCGTTGTATCAAAAAACATAAAGAGAACAACAGCCAAGTGAATGTATTAAAATAATTTTTATAAATCATTGTTTTTAAGGAATCTACAAGATGGAGTCTTTGAACACACATGCCACCACGGAATAGCAAAGATATTATAAGCTTGTTGCATATTCCAACCTGAGGGCATGGAAAACACAACCCCCAACTCCAGGAAGCGAAACAGACAGCAACCGAAATCGACTTTGTATCACCTGATTTTTGAATGAGCATCAACTCTTGAGGAGTCAGAGACATTAGACCCAGATTGAGACCAGAAAAGAGACCAGATAGAACAAGAAGACATGATATAATTATCACCTGAAAAATTAAAGTTATCAACCGGAAATATAATGCAAAATATTACAGCCAAAGAAAGTCTAAATTTCAATACTCCGAGAAACCACAAGATCAATATACTCACACTGGCCTAATTTTGTGTATACTAACTCATAGAAAATGTCCGCTTGTCCACACTGTCGTGACCTATCGACCAACGAAACCTATGACCATGGTGGAAATTCCACACCGTACGAGTACTAACCCATTGGGGACCGCGTGATACACATGGCTCAACACGCGGCCACACGAAGGGGGAACTTGTCTCGAGTTATTTAGTAATCTTTTACGTTAGGATCTGCTAATATTCTTCAAGACTACGAAACAAAATAAAGAACATACTACTCAACAAATTACTGGTGTGATCTTGATATGATGTTCATTGTTAAGAGGAAAAAGAAGAAAAAAATGAGAAGATGCACGAATTACGGTGACCCATAACGGGTTCAATTCTACGTAACATGCATAACAATGCATACCTGAATCCACAACGCGAAATAATACTGACGTGGCGGAACTTCTGTCGATATTCGAGTTCGAAATTCCGATACCTTAAAGAGCTGTGTAAAATATGTGAGAAATGTACAACATGTGACCTTCCCATGCATGAAAACAAACAAAAAACTGAATGGCCTTCCTTATGTCACTGAACTTCATTACCATCATCAGAACTAGTTCTACCACTTCCGTTTTCAATCAGACCATCATCGACATTTGCAACGACTGCGTTTGGAATTGGTTTCAGGCAACGTTGATATTTCACGAAAGACATTTCAGACGTTTACGATCTTTGAGCTTTACAACTGGTCTTACCGTACCCTAAGTAACTCACACATCCCAAAAGAATGGTAGACAATTGAAATATAACATCACCTTTGCCCGCCCTCCCAAATTGTTCCTAAACTAGCTTAGCTCGAATGTCCACAAACTAGTTGGGCTCCAGAAACTCAATTCTGCACTCTCTGAATGGGTTGTAAACTAATCTACTTCCTTCGTAGACCACCTCTAACCAGCAGAACTCATTACGTCCCCTGCCAACCACCGACAGCATTTCTTAAGACAAACTAGAGCTCAATCAACAATGAGCTACGAGCGAGAAGGTTGCTAGGAAACAACTCGTACCGATGTGAGAACGTGAGGAGACAAAGTCTGGAAAGACTAAAGAATTAACATTTGTATGCAAGAGCTCGTTAGCAGAATCATGAGAAAGGTATCGCTGAGAGAATTACATTTGGCTCCATCGATTCCTACAAAGCGCCCCTGTCCAAAGTCCCTACATTGTTAGCCGAAAAAAATGTCGAGTTAAAGGAGCTATTGAGCGATCTCATGGGAACAAAAACTTCTGTTCGTCTCTTGTTTCATTATTATTCACAGGAGAAGAGTTTTGAACATAGATGCACAGCCATTTGCTTATTCCCTACTTGAAATCAACTACATATACTGCCGCTCAGTAGCTGAAGCGATTATGCTAAGGTTCACAAAGCTTCCTACGCAATTATCATTTGTTCAGATAAGCACCAAATGAAGTTACTTATAATGAACGAACAGTATCACATTGAGGTAACAACTTCTGACTAAGCCCTGGTGAAAAAAGTATGAATACTGATTTATGATTAATCCTAGTTACTGTCGAGCTGCCGCTTCGCTTTCCAGCTGTCAATTTTTAATGCCTCCTACGGGTTAAGGGTTGCTGAACCGATTTTAGAGCTCAGAAAGTTGACAACGATTTGAAAACGTTATCCGATGCAATAAAAACATTTGACACCTATCTTTCAACTTCTTTCCAGTTCATTTTCCTCTGCTTTTTCGTAAGGGAGCAGGAAGGCAGTGTACACACATACGTGAATCAATACAACTGCGACTGCCGTCGCAAGATACGGGGGCATATTCCAGGACTAGGCCTAAGACGAGACCAGAATGCCGTGGAAAAAACGAAAATGCTCATCACCTTGGAGTCTACTCCTATAATGTGCTCCCGCCACAATGCCTCCGTATCTTGCGATAGCTCCCGCAACTAAATGGGATGTATGCCGGCAATGTACGCTGCAGAAATACTAGTACTAGGGTGTCCGCCTAAATCTTGATAACGCTTGCCGAGCAGCACCTCGTTTCTGTCCCTTCGCGTTGCCGCCAGCCTTGACTACTGAAAAAGCGCAGCCGATTTTCTCTACCATTCCCTCCCCTCTAAATGAGTCTATCTAATTTGTAGCCGGACAATCACGGCTGCTGCATTGCTTACAAGCACTTAAGAAAGGCATCTACCAAGCGCTCGCTCCCCAAATGTGACCCACCCGCAGCTGCATTTTTCGGGACTGTCCTTAGAGCTCCCTAGGGTCTCCTAAGCAGTGCAATAATAAGTCTCTACAGCAGAAATCATAAGTAAAGAAATTGAAAAAAAATCAGTTACCAGAAACATTATCATAAGTTGGGAACACATTCTAAGAAGAGGGCCAAATAAAGGCTGTGAATACACTTAAGAATAAAAAAGCAAATAAATGTTGTCTAACTCACTTGCACATTATTCTGCCGGGAAAGCGGTTATAGCTTGGACGTGATTTGATACATAACCGGAAACTCGCCGAGAGGAATATAAACATGACGAGGTTTATTCGACGAAATAGTTCAATGGAATGACAAAAAAAAAGACAAGAAAATAAACGTACTCCGGAAGCTGAATGTAGCAACAACACGCTTGTCCGACTGTGAGAGGAAATCCACTTGTTCAAAAACAAGGGGTGCTGCAGAACAATTTTCCGAAGTTGTGAAAGCAACCTAGACAACTTCCAATCCAATGATAAGTAAACATGGTAAAAATTTCAAATAATGTGAAAAATTGTACCGTTTGCAGCTCTTCAAGCCAAATTCCAAATAAAACGACTCGAACAACGTGATCTGGCAATACTATGCTTGCACCACGACTCCTGAATAGGTTTTTCACTTCACATTAAGTCGCGAAATAGTTTGTCAAGCCCCCCCCCCCCCACACACACACTTCAAAAACGGCGGGGATGAAGAAATAGATTTAGACACGATCAGAAAATACTCACGTATATCCTAAGAAAGCATCTTCTTCTCCTTCTAGGTTTTCGATCCGAGTGCCGGAGATGAGCGCCTCCCTCTCGTAGGTGATAACATTGATCGAGCGAGGTGCTTCAGACGCCTATAAGCAAAAGAGCTTCATCATATGGCATCACTAGAGACAACTGATTGGACTACAAGGTAAAACGGAGCAGCGCTCGCTGGACACGTTACTGAACCATATGCTTTCTGAAACATCTAATTATGGGCCACCTCCCTTGTCCTCCTACTATCTTCCCTCCCCCATACTACACAATTTCAAAGTACAAATAAGTACAGGAATACTAACAAATTATGAGGACGGATAAAACTAAGAATGTCGAAACTGTGAATCCAATGCATCGTTTTTTGCAAATCAAATGTACACATCTCAAAAAAATGCCTCTCTGAACGGAATTTTAAAAACGTAATCAGCAATTTTTTCACATTGGTTCTGAAACCCCTGCATGCAACTTGATTCAGTGCGCAGAACCAATAAAAAGATCTAATATCTCAAAGGCACCAACTACTACTTTTTGTCATCTTGAACCTGATTCCGTCACATCATCAGCATCCACACTAACGTTTCAGTAAAAACGATAAAGGATTAAAAATAGCAACATGATCGGAACTGATCGATCGATCAGTGCTTCAAGCACTCAAAGCAGAGAAAGAGCTTCTTTTCGGCCTAGGCGGAAACCCATCGTGCATTCAGCAAGTGGTAAACGGTGCTTCATATCAGTGGCATCTACACTAATTAAGATAAATTCTGTTCAATTAACCCCAGATATTATCTGGGTGCAACCACGATTACAAATCTAGAGCGAGGTAGGATTTACTGCACAGTTTCACAGCGGCATCAACCTATGATGTTGTTGCCATAAACCTAGAAAACACCTTGCTTCAACCAGCTATAACTTAAAATCTAGGCCAGAGATAGAGGTTTGAACTCTTGTTTTGTTAAGACTTGGAGCAGTGCAATCCGTTCTATTGTTAAATTATCCAGACGCAGAGCCAGAACTATCCTAAAAAAAAGATGATAATCCATGATGCAGGGGAGTTTTCCATGTTGGCAGTGAAATTTCAGGATTGAAAAAGCAACGATGTAACAGCGAGGCAAAATCCTAGGCAGCGAATAATTTCCGAATACTCACAGGGATATCCTCAAATTTTGCAGACTTCCAAGAACATATCAAACAATAATGGGAACATTGGAAGAAAAAAAAAGAACAAAAAATACTCAAGAACACACCTTTGGCGTGGATGGAGAGCTAGACACGTCTTCTTCACCACAGAGTCCTCGAAGACTACACAGCAGTATTAGCAAGAATATAGAAAACCCACTGCGCATCCCACAAAGAAGGGTGCCCGGTGACTGTACACAGTTGTACTGTGATGTGTTTAGTTCTGAAAACAAGGATATTTCTATGAACATCGAGTTTCCGTGCTGAAAGTGGACGTACAACGCTCCAAAAACGAACATCGAGAGTTGTCGTTTGAACAAAAAAAAGCGGACACATGACTTCATAATCGTTGCTTCGTGAGAGGATTTCACACATGAAATGGTGAGAGTAGTATAGCATGGTGAGGTTCTGGGTTCTAAAGCTCCGTGACTTTTTCCATCCTCAAAAGTGTGGCCGCAGCGGGCACGGACAAGCAGGGTCGGTCCTATCGTTGCTACTTTTCGAAAAGTTTTTACGACCCCCCTCCCTCATGAAATGTTTTATACTACGACCCCCTCTTTCAAAACAATTTTTCCCCCCAAAAATTATCGTCGAGCGGGGGGGGGGAGTATACTTACCGTAAAACCGCAAAAATTCCCTACATTTCCCTACACTTTCCACGTATTTTACATTTATATATTTCAACTGCTCCATTTTCTAGAAGGGGTGTATACGCGCGCTGAAACGGCAAATTTTCTCCCGCGCCGCTCCCCACTCATCACATGCAACTTCTCTTTTTTCTCAACTTTCAAGCATTCGGGGAAGCATACCTTACGGCCCCGGATAACGAATGGATCGAAAAGTCAGAGATGGCCTCTCGCTTGGGTTTCACTGTCTTTTTATGGCGCCAAACGGAAGTGCTACCCACATTAGAATTTGCAAAAAAGGGTTTCGACTCAAGTACTGCTATTGAAGAGTTTCTGGAATCCAAGAGGAAAGTCTGAGCCGAATGAACGCGAGTTTTTTCGCAGACCGTAATGATTTCAATGAGGTGATGAAGCATTAGAAACTCCGCCCTCCGCTGAATAATCACAAGAGGGTGATGTCACACCAAAATCTATGCTAAGAGCTTCATTACCTAGAAGCAGCTGCACTGGAAATGCTAGCACAAGCGGACTACAACATCACAGTATGCTGAGTTATAACTAAATCATTTGCCCCAAGCGGGAATCTACTCCCGACCTCGTGTTTTCTAGGTAGGCATATTACCGCTACAGCTTCAGAGCCACCATTATTCAGTTTTCAGGGTATTATGAGAAACGAAACAACAGACAGAAAGCTGTAAAAATGCGATATCTGCTAATGATTTAACGATATACATATGATAGCGTAGCTACTATACCATGCTGAAAAATAGAGCCTAGTTCTGACAGGCCCAAGTAAAGCATTTCAAAACTTTATTATTTAAAACAACATTGGCAGTGAACCTTGGATCCAATCAAATGGAAATATCGAGTGGAAATAAGTGCGAACTGCAGAGTCCAAAGATCAC